TGAATGATAGACTTCGCATTTAGGAATTCGATCAGTTTTTTAAAGAATGTGTCGTCGTCATACTAACATGTGACAAATGTACTATACTTGGGGATTTTCTACGATAGTCTAGTCAGAATCGCTTACTTACTTACTTACTTATGCACGGCCAGATCAAAACATGGCATAAATCCATGAAGTCACTGACAAATGGACTGAGTCATGTTGGTAGATGTAGACTGCCTGGTTGGGGTCCGCCATACGATAGTCATCAATGGTTAGAGACCTTGAACAACGACATGGCTCAGAATCGTTTGCAATGGCGCAGGTGCATCCATTCTTTGTGTTCTATGAATTTTTGAATTCCTCATCACCTCTACCTTTCTGCTTCAAAAAATTTATCTCACTGAATTATACTTTTTGAATCATATCTTCGCTCTCTAATCTTCTCCATTGCTGGTAATAATTCTACTATCGCTATCACTGTTGGATTTGAAGTGACAGTTACGCGTCTCTGTGCTGACGTGGTATGGCAACCTGAACTGATGTACTTATGTACGAAGTTCTGTGTTGTATTTGTCTGTCTACTTATGCACTTACTTACTTACCTACTTTCTTACTTACTTATGCACTTACCTACTTGCTTACTTACTTACCCACTCACTTGCTTACTTACTTACTTATGCACTTATGTACTTACATACTTACTTATGCAATTACTTGCTTGTTTACTTACTTACTTACTTACTTACCTACTTATGCCTGTTACCCTCCAACGTAGGCCTCTAATCAGCATTCTCTAGCCCCTACTCTGTCCTCATCTAGTTCTGTTCATTCTTCTCATGTCTGTCTCCATTTCGCAGCCTAGTGTGTTTCTTGGCCTTCCCTCTTGGCGGTTGACTTTGAGGATTCTAACTCATGGTTGTGACAAAAACCTTTATGTTAAATCGAATGAATTCAGTTTGTACTATTTATTTTTTGGAAATGCTCTTGAAATTTCGCTAGTGGTTGCATTGAATTAGACGTCAGGATTACCATTTTTAGTGGGCTACGTTAGATTCGATGTCGGGCTTACCACTTTAGTGTCTGCATTGAACTCGTCGTACGGCTCACTATTTTTGTGCTCAGCTATCTGACTACAATATTTATGAATATTTAAATTTGCAATCAATATGAACATCTCTCTTTCAGTTTCCGTAGATCATACTTAGGCGAACACTGTTTGTGCGATAGCGGTTATAAGAAGCTGACTACGGATTCAGTTGAATAAGTTTATTTCATACATTCATTTTAAACAGACAGACAAGAATGAAAATAGAGTGCGAGTAAAGTGAGGCGAATTGGAGATGAGCGAGTGAACCAACTCCAATGTAATGCGGCATCATCATGAGTAAGCATTTGCAGTCAAACAGCAGAAAGCCAAAACTGAAATGCGATAAGCCAATTAAAGCGTCACATACACACACTGGAAAATAGAAACAACCAAGTGAAAAGCGAATAGTTGATTTGGCCAGGTTGAAAGACGTGTATGAATCATAACTCAATAAGAATAGATTGATTACATTTGTTCAAAGGCTGAGAGACAAGCCCTATGAGCATGATATTACACACACACTTCATGTATTTTGAATGTAATTATTGATTGAATTATTGCGCCTGTAACAACAACATTGGGATCAATGGGTTTTATATTTACTTATGTAGCAGTAATAGCTTCAACATTTACAATTACATCAGAAAATTACACATATGCTCATAAAAAATATTACGCAATCAGTACTATGACTAGTTTTGATAGGTAATTCTCAAAGTTGTGAACAACTATACTCATTATAAGTTACTTACGTCTGTTACCCCCAATAGAGCATAGGCCACCGAACAGCATTCTCTAACCTACTTTGTCCTGGACCTTTTTTTCTACTTCTATCCAATTATATCTCGTTCTTCCCATATCTGTCTCCGTTTCTCGACGTAATGTGTTTTTGGTCTTGAGGACTCAAAGTGAGGGCTTGTCTTGAGATGCAGTTGGGTCCTTTCTTCCTCTAGCGCTTCTTTCTAATTTCCTCCTCCGTTGGGATCTGGTTTGTTCTTTCCCACAGTAAGTAGTTGCTGATGGTAGCTGGCCAACGTGAATGCAGTATCTTGCGTAGACAACTGTTAATAAACACTTGTATCTTCTGGTTGATGGCTTTTGTGTTTCTCCAAGTTTCCACTTCATACAGTAGAACTGTTTTGATATTTCTATTGAAAATTCTGACTTTGGTTTCAGTTGACAGTTGTTTTGAGTTACAGATGCTATTCAATTGTAGAAATGCTACCCTTGGTTGCTTTGCCGATCCGCGGTGTAATCAATATAATTTAACCATATTTAATGTGATATATTAGACGATGATTGCGCAATATCACGAATCGGTTGGAGTGAGTTAGAATTTAAATTACTCTATACCAAACTAATGGTTTGAAAGTTCAATACTCCTTATGAAAGCTTTAAAGTCTGAGTTGGATTTTTCATTTGACTCAATAGATGTATGTTCATCGCCAAATCTGTTCGGTCTTTAATGTTGACTACAAAAGATTTTTCGTATTTAATTTCCCTGATATTGTTTTCTGATGAATCAGTCCATCTCCTGAAATCTACTTTCAAACTGGGCATTCCTTACTCTCTCTCTCTCTCTCCTGCAAAATATACTTATACACTTACGCCCGTTACCCCCGATGGAGTATAGGCCGCCGATCAGGTTTCTTCCACCAACTCTATCCTGGGCTTCCTCTTCCAATTCTGTTCAATTTTTGTTCATTCTTCTCATGTCTTTCTCTATTTCTCGGAGTAATGAGTGCCTTCGCCTTCCTCTTTTCCTTTTGCCTTGAGGGTTCCAAGTGAACGGCTTGTCTTGTGACTCGCATTTGGGTGATTTCCGCAGGATATATCCTATCCACTTCCATCGTCTCTTAATGAGTTCCTCCTCTACTGGGATCTGGTTTGTTCTCTCCCACATTACGTTGTTGCTGATGGTGTCTGGCTAATGGATGTGAAGTATTTTGCGTAGACAACTGTTCATAAACACTTTTATCTTCTGGATGATGGCATTCGTAGTTCTCCATGTTTCCGCTCCATACAGTAGAACTCTGTCTTGACATTTGTATTGAAAATGTTGATTTTAGTTTTGGTTGAAAGTTGTTTTGAGTTCCAGATATTTTTCAACTGTAGAAATGCAGCCTTTGTGCTTTGCCAATCCGCACCCTCACATCTGCATCGGATCCACCTTGGTTGAATGAGTGCCTTCGCCTTCCTCTTTTCCTTTTTTACCTTGAGGGTTACAAGTGAACGGCTTCGTTTGTGATGCAGTTGGGTGCTTTTCGTAGTGTGTGTCCTATCCACTTCCATGGCTTCTTCCTGATTTGCTCCTCCACAGGAATCTGGTTTGTCCTCTTTCACACTAGATTGTTACTAATGGTGTCTGGTCAACGAATCCGAAGTATTTCCAGCAAAATTCTAAAGAAACTTTCTATCAAACCTTTTTATATTACTCAGCATATTCCAATTATTCACCAGTATTATTATGATTATTATTATTATTAATTTTAGGTACCGTTAAAGAATTAGTTCCGTATACCGCGTCAATTCAACAAAATCCACGTACACGATTATATAAAAAATATGTTTCTAGTCCTATTATACGCATACGAAACATGACCGGTGAGAGTAGACGACATTCGTAGGTTACTAGTCTTCGATCATCGATATCTCACAAGCATTACTCGTGTATCATGGAACAACTGAGTAACCAATGCAGTTGTTAGGAAACGAGTACTAGGTAAGGGTAGGAGATCAACAGAGGAAGAGTATTGAAACTTCATCAGTTGTGGGTTGGTCGGGGCATGTGTTACGTCGTATGCTTAGCCACCGACTGCCTCAACGATGGTGTAGGAGTAGTAGGTTAGAAGACAGTTAGAGGCGACCTTTTTTTATATTACTCTGCATATTCCAATTATTCACCAGTATTACTATTATTATTAATTTTAGGTACCGTTAAAGAATTAGTTCCGTATACCGCGTCAATTCAACAAAATCCACGTACACGATTATATAAAAAATATGTTACTAGTAGTAGTAATAAATCAAATCAACCAATCAATAACATTAATAATACTAATACAGGATTGGATGAAAATAAAACATCACTTCCTAAATCAACTACTGAATATGCAAGTACAACAACTACGAGTACTACTAGTCAATCAGCAGATACTACTACTGAATTACTGAACACACCTGTTTCAGAATTATTAAGTACTACTACTAATAATAATAATAGTAGTAGCAGTCATAATACATCAACTAGTTCACGACAACGTAGACAACATCATCATCATCATCATCGGACACGTAAAAATATCGCTGAATAAATTGAAACAACTTTTGAAATTTTGATGTATTTATTACCACTACTGTGACTACTACGACTACCGCGAACCATCAGAAAACAAACTTGTTCAACCAAATTGCAATGATGATTGATATTTCATTTCACAACTTTTTAATAAACTTTTTTACTTGCCTGTGTATTGTAAAAAAAAAACATGTATTTCCATATTCTGTTCTCCATGAGAAATAACAATCTTCTCTGCCTTCTTCTGTCCTCTTATTTTTTTTAGTCATTTAAATTTAACTACTTATTTATTTGGAAAAAAGTAGTTTATTTATTTATGCTTATTTAGAAGATAACTGGTGTTATTGAGTAAAAAAAACCACTAAATTAGGTTAGATTGGTCACTTTTGTTTGGTTTTTTGTTTGTTTGCCTATCTAAGTTTGTATTGCTTACTTCCTATTGGCTGTTTCGATTATTGTGGTTTTCCCAATTACAAAACACATGTTTTGTGTCACGTGAAGATGATAACCACTGACATATTTTTTACATATTGTTGAACCGCGCACTGTCTTCACCATTCTGGTTCTTTTTTCTCTGTCTATCCGATTTGGTTTTATAATCACTGTGGTAGTATGTGTGTGTGCGCGTGTGCGTGCGCGTCTACCCGATTTGGTTTCATAATCACTGTGGTAGTGTGTGTGTGTGTGCGTGCGCGCGCGCTTGTTTATTCGTATGAATCTTTCTTTCCAACAACACTTCTTCACTGTTGAACTGTTTATTTTCACGTTCTATATTATTGTCTTTGTGTTGTGTACATATGTAAAGAATTGCAAAGTTCTTGCATAATAGAACTTATAATGTATTATTGATCAATAAATGAACGCTTAAAATTTGATTTTGTTTACAATCTGATTGAAGTCAATATCAATTTTGTAAATGCTTATTACCAAATAATGCCTTGGTATATGGCCGAGATGAAGGAGGGTTCCATTTCGCTTTCAGATTGCTATCATATGGTGTTGCGTATGGACGTAAACACGTCATTTTGGCATGCTCGAACTATTACGAGAGCGAGGATCTGGCGACATGACATAGTCCTAAACCGCTGTTGAGTAAAAGAAGAAGACTTGATATGAAATGGAACATGTATTCTACAAGTATTCAGAAAGTACGAGCCCAGTAGAGGATGAGGATCCCGGACTAAGGATTCGGATCATAAAACGTTACAGATAATGCGTATTCATACATTTTGGTCGAATAGGGAACAGCATCGAAGTCTGTGACATTGACAGTTAAGTCGACCAATAGGAAGCAACATTTGAAGTGACATTGATAGTCAGGATAACCAATAAGAAACAACATTGGAGTTCGTGACATTGATATCTAGGACGACCATAATATTGACCAGTAGGAACTGACCAATAGAAAAAGAAATTACCTTTATAAATGTTATCATATGACGTTACGTATGCACGTAAACACGTCATTTGATATGCTTGAACTATTACGAGTTTACATGAGTTCGGAAAAGTGAGCGAGGATATTTACTGAACATCCTAACATATGGTCACGTGTGTATAGTCAATTTCATGGGAGTCCTTCTTGCTGTCTTCTCGTAGCTAGAGTGTTATTTACGAAATTGCTAGGACGAAAAGTGAATGTCCGGCGCTTTTATCGGGTTGATGGGTACAAAGTATCTATCTAGGGGAGTTGGGAACTTCCGGACTCAAACTCAATAGTTCACACAAATTCCAGGTAACAAGCAGCGTATAAATGTGTTGTTGGTAACTGGCTACCAATAATTTTGCTGAATGAATGCAAAATCTGAATTACTATTCGCTTCTAATAACCCCAGACTACATCTATACTACGAATTGAACACCAGACAAAAGGCGTAAATTACGAGTAGAATGCTTTTCTCCATGGACAGTTTATCCCCACAAAATGAAAGTATTCATATGCAAGTACAACAACTACGAGTACTACTAGTCAATCAGCAGATACTACTACTGAATTACTACTGAATACACCTGTTTCAGAATTATTAAGTACTACTAATAGTAATAATAGTAGTAATACTAGCAGTCATAATACATCGAGTAGTTCACGACAACGTAGACAACATCATCATCATCACCGTACACGTAAAAATTACACATATGCTCATAAAAATATTACGCAATTAGCACGATGAGTAGTTTTGAGATGTAATTCTCAAAGTTGTGAACAACTATAGTCAATGTAAGTTACTTACGCCTGTTACCCCCGACGCCGCATAGGCAACCGACCAGCATTGTCTAACCTACTTTGTCCTGAACTTTTTTTTCTACTTCTATCCAATTATGCCTCATTCTTCCCGTATCTGTTTCCGTCTCTCTACGTAATGTATTTTTTGGTCTACCTGTTTTCCTATGGTCTTGAGGACTCAAAATGTGGGCTTGTCTTTGGATGCAGTTGGATCCTTTCCTCCACTAGCGCTTCTTTCTAATTTCCTCCTCCGTTGGGATCTGGTTTGTTCTCTCCCACAGTAAGTTGTTGTTGATGGTATCTGCCCAACGGGAATGCAGTATCTTGCGTAGACAACTGTTCATAAGCGCTTGTATCTTCTGGTTGATGGCTTTTGTGTTTCTCCAAGTATCCGCTCCATGCAGTAGAAGTTTCTTGATAATTGATATTGAAAATTCTAACTTTAATGTTAGTTGATTGTGGTTTTGAGTGTTACAGATGTTATTCAATTGTAGAAATGCTACCCTTGGTTGCTTTGCCCATCCGCGGTGTAATCAATATAGTTAAACTATATTTAATGTGATATATTAGACGATGATTGCTCAATATCACAAATCGGTGGGAGTTAGAATTTAAGTGGTTAGAAAGTTCAATACTCGTTATGTAAGCTTTAAAGTCTGAGTTGGATTTTTCATTTGACTCAATAGATGTATGTACATCGCCAAGTCAGTTCGGTCTTTAATGTTGACTACAAAATATTTTTCGTATTTAATTGCCTGATATTGTTTTCTGATGAATAAGCCCATCTCCTGAAAGCTACTTTAAGACTGACATCCCTTACTCTCTCTCTCCTGCAAAATATACTTACATACTTACGCCTGTTACCCCCTATAGAGCATAGGCCGCCCACCAATTTTCTCCAACCAACTATGTCGTGGGATTCCTCTTCCAATTCTGTTCAATTTTTGTTCATTCGTCTCATGTCTTTCTCTATGAGTGCCTTCGCCTTCCGCTTTTCCTTTTTTACCTTGAGGGTTCCAAGTGACGGCTTGTTTTGTGATGCAGTTGGGCGCTTTCTGCAGTGTGTGTCCTATCCACTTCCACCTCCTCTTCTTAAGTTCTTCCTCCACTGGAATCTGGTTTGTCCTCTTCCACACTAGATTGTTACTAATGGTGTCTGGCTAATGGATGCGAAGTATTTTGCGTAGACAACTGTTCATAAACACTTGTATCTTCTGGATGATGCCTTTCGTAGTTCTCCAAGTTTCCGCTCCATACAGTAGAACTCTGTCTTGACATTTGTATTGAAAATGCTGATTTTGGTTTTGGTTGACAGTTGTTTGGAGTTCCAGATATTTTTCAACTGTAGAAATGCAGCCTTTGTGCTTTGCCAATCCGCACCCTCACATCTGCATCGGATCCACCTTGGTTGAATGATTGCCTTCGCCTTCATCTTTTCCTTTTTTACCTTGAGGGTTACAAGTGAACGGCTTGTTTTGTGATTCAGTTAGGTGCTTTTCGTAGTGTGTGTCCTATCCACTTCCACGGCTTCTTCCTGATTTGCTCCTCTACTGGAATCTGGTTTGTTCTCTTCCACACTAGATTGTTGCTGATAGTATCTGACCAACGAATCCGAAGTATTTCCAGCAAAATTCTAAAGAAACTTTCTATCAAACCTTTTTATATTACTCAGCATATTCCAATTATTCACCAGTATTATTATTACTCGTATTAATTTTAGGTACCGTTAAAGAATTAGTTCCGTATACCGCGTCAATTCAACAAAATCCACGTACACGATTATATAAAAAATATGTTACTAGTAGTAGTAATAAATCAAATCAACCAATCAATATCATTAATAATACTAATACAGGATTGGATGAAAATAAAACATCACTACCTAAATCAACTACTGAATATGCAAGTACAACAACTACGAGTACTACTAGTCAATCAGCAGATACTACTACTGAATTACTACTGAATACACCTGTTTCAGAATTATTAAGTACTACTAATAGTAATAATAGTAGTAATACTAGCAGTCATAATACATCGAGTAGTTCACGACAACGTAGACAACATCATCATCATCACCGTACACGTAAAAATATCGCTGAATAAATTGAAACAACTTTTTAAATTTTGATGTATTTATTACTACTACTGTGACTACCACTACTACCGCGAACCATCAGAAAACAAACTTGTTCAACCAAATTGTAATGATTATTGATATTTCATTTCCCAACTTTTTAATAAATTTTTTTACTTGCCTGTGTATTGTAAAAAAAAAACATGTATTTCCATATTCTGTTCTCCATGAGAAATAACAATCTTCTCTGCCTTCTACTCTCCTCTTATTTTTTTTAGTCATTTAAATTTAACTACTTATATATTGCAAAAAAAGTAGTTTATTTATTTATGCCTATTTAGAAGATAACTGGTGTTATTGAGTAAAAAACAAAACACTAAATTAGGTTAGATTGGTCACTTTTGTTTGGTTGTTTTTTGTTTGTCTATCTAAGTTTATATTACTTACTTCCTATTGGCTGTTTTGATTATTGCGGTTTTCCCAATTACAAAACACATGTTTTGTGTCACGTGATGATGATGATGATGATAACCACTGACATATTTTTTATATCTTGTTTGAACTGCGCACTGTCTTCACCATTCTGGTTCTTCTTTCTCTGCCTATCCGATTTGGTTTTATAATCACTGTGGTAGTGTGTGTGTGCGCGTGCGTGCGCGCGCGCTTGTTTATTCGTATGAATCTTTCTTTCCAACAACACTTCTTCACTGTTGAACGAGCTGTTTATTTTTTCACGTTCTATATTATTGTCTTTGTGTTGTGTACATATGTAAAGAATTGCAAAGTTCTTGCATAATAGAACTCATAATGTATTATTGATCAATAAATGAACATTTAAAATTTGATTTTGTTTACAATTTGATTGAAGTCAATATCAATTTTGTAAATGCTTATTACCAAATAATGCCTTGGTATATGGCTGAGATGAAGGAGGGTTTACTTTTGCTTTTAAAAATGTTATCATATGGTACTAGGCATGGACGTAAACACGTCATTTTGGTATGCTTGAACTATTACGAGTGTACCTTAGTCGATAAATGAGAGCGAGGATCCGGCGACATGGCGTCCCACTCTAATCCGATTGTCCTAAACCCCTTTTGAATAAAAGCAAAAGACTTGATATTAAATGGAACATGTATTCTACAAGTATTCAGAAAGTACGAGGTCCGAGCCCAGAAGATAATGAGGATCCCGGACTAAGGATATAGGTCATAAAACGTTACAGATAATCCGTATTTATACAGTTAGGTCGAATAAGAAACAACATTGACAGTTAGCACGACCAATAGAAAACAGCATTTGAAGTGACATTGATAGTCAGGACGACCAATGGGAAACATTATTAAGGTACGTGACATTGATGGCTAAGAGGACCATAATATTGACCGGTAGGAACTGACCAATAGAAAAAGAAATTACCTTTCAAAATGTTATCATATGACGTTACGCATGTACGTAAACACGTTATTTGATGTACTTGAACTATTACGAGTTTACATGAGTTGGGAAAAGAGAGCGAGGATATTTGCTGAATATCCTAACATATAGTCACGTGTGTATAGTCAATTTCATGGGGGTCCTTCTTGCTTTATTCTCGTAGCTAGAGTGTTGTTTACGGTATTGCTAGGACGAAAAGTGGTTGTCCGGCGCGTTTACCGGGTTATTGGGTACAAAGTATCTATCTAGGGGAGTTCGGAACTTCCGGACTCAAAGTCAATAGTTCACACAAATTCCAGGTAACAAGCAGCGTATAAATGTGTTGTTGGTAACTGGCTACCAATAATTTTGCTGAATGAATGCAAATTCTGAATTCCTATTCGATTCTAATAACCCCAGACTACATCTGCACTGCGAATTGAACACGAGACAAAAGGCGTAAAGTACGAGTAGAATGCTTTTCTCCATGGACAGTTTATCCCCACAAAATGAAAGTATTCATAGTGTGGTGCGCGCTACTTATAAGTAGTGTATGACGCGAGTGTAAACGTAATGTCTGGCAGCAGAAGATGGGGGAAGATCAAGAAAGGAAGAGTGGGAACACAATGGAATTTGTTTGAAACGCATGAACAGTGAAATGTCAGACAATGGATTGAAGATTTGCAAATTAACCGTTTACGATATGGATTTCCTATTTTACTGAGTAACTCTGTAATTTGCGATAAATACAATTCGGTTGCCCTCACCTGTGTTCTCCTTCACTACAATAGGACCTTAGGCTTCTAGAAGGTTCAGAAATCATACTAACTGTGATAGCCGATATTGCTCAACATCCAATGAGAATTGTGGCACGTGATCACATTTTCCAGATGTTTGGGTAACGTTTATATTGAATGTTGATTGGATGAGATGTTTCTGGACTTCGATAGACTTTTCTAAGGAATATTTCGGGCCTCCGCAACAGCTACCATTTGTCTTCATCTACTAACTTAGAGATTATACCACTTAGTTGAATGCTCAAGAAGTGGCCTCGTAAAACACCCCCTCCTGCTTCAGTTTTGAGCACTTAGTCAGTAATTCAGCCCACACAACAATTCAATAGTTTGTGTACTGCTTAAATATTTCGTTGTTCCTATGTATCAGTAATTATCGATGTAAATAATAAGAGGTTTTTTACTTATCTGTGATGCGTACGCATCATCCTGTATGAGATTGAATACAGTATGTTCAGTTCTGGTCAAAACTATAATATCAACTTTTAATATGATCTAATTTCATCAGTGATATTACTCACACTGTCGATGATGTTAAATTCAATTAGACACAATGACTTTTGATCTGGAATGTCAGGAGTTATTCACTAGTTAACGAACAACTCTATATATTTGATATCTTACTTCACAAAGTCATGAAGTTACTGATAAGTGGACTGAGCCATGTTAGTAAGTGTAGGCTATCTGGTTGAGGGCCACGAGACAAACGCTGAATGATATTGCTCAAAGTCGTTTACAGTGGCGCAGCTATATCCACTCTTTGTGTTTTTTCGAATTCTAATCTGAATCCCTCATCAAATTTATTTCACTGGATTATACTCCGTGAGTAATATCTTCAAACCGTAATCTTTCCGATTACTATTCATATTTCCATCTCTGTGTGCTAGCTAGTGTGGTATGGCAACTTGAACTGATGTACGTATGTACGAAGTTCTACGTTGTTTCTGACTTGCAAAGATTGATCTTAGTTTGTGTACTATTGAGGAATGATTAAGAGACATTGGCCATCTATGTGTGTAAACCTAAGACCCTCTAATCAATATCCTAAAACGCTAGATGAGTTTTTGTAACTAAACTGAGGAATGAAAATGTACACGAAGACAGTGTAAAATTAATTTATCAGTTAACAGATAGGAGAAAAGTTTCATGATGATTATAACTGTTATTAATGCTAAATTCTTCATTAATGCGCGAATTTGAAAATTCACACAAATATAGTTTTGGAGACGTTAGATTGCCAGAACTCATTTAATATAAAGGTCCTAATTTTGGATTTTATGATTTAGCGCATGAGTTGATCAGTTGACCTTGAGATTATATTTCCCACCCGGAAAATCCTTGACTGTTATTGGTTAATGTGTTATTTTAGTACGCTATTTTTGTGGTTCTCTCAAGGACGTTTCTATCATGTATTAATAAACCCGATTTTGTGTGCTTGAAAGACCTCATATTTTCTGGGTGTTTGTAGAATACACTTTCAACGCTATATCAAGACTTCTTATTCTGCTTGGTGAGGCTTTGAGACGCTCGGATTAGAGTAGCCTATCATGTCACTAGGTCACTTGTCTTCGCTCTCGTTTACCGACTAAGGTGAACTCGTAATAGAATTCAAGCATATCAATCGATGAGCATGACACATAGTGACTAATTAACATCGGTGAATAAAATTTATAAAGTGAACACTTCACACTGAGACAGAATAAAGTATTTTTAGTGTCTACTAATATGTTGAGCATATAGTTGTCTTGTAGTGAAGGAGAAGACAGGTGAGGACAACTGAATTGTATTTATCGAAAATCACAGTTACTCAGTAAAATAGGAAAACCATATCGTAAACCGTTAATTTGCAAAACATCAATCCATCGTCTGACATTTCACTGTTCATGCGTTTCAAACAAATTCCATTGTGTTCCCTTTCTTCCTTTCTTGATCTTCCCCCATCTTCTGCTGCCAGACATTACGTTTTCACGCATCACAGTCTTAGCCTTTGGATAATTTATTCAATCTATTCTCCTCGACTTATTAACATGTTTATACATCTGGTCGATTATTCGCTCACCGGTTTGGATGCTTTACTTCAAATATCTGTGTGCGAGATTCCTCCGCTCAGCAAGTGTCTAGTTTATTATTCGTGACTATAAATACTTAGTCGTAAAGCATCGCATTGAATCGGCTCAACTGCGTATTTCACATCAGTTCTCTATGTCTATACGAATTGTATTCTCATATCTGACTGCGTGACAGACTGCATGAAATCAGTTCGTCCACAATTCGTATTTGGGTTCGCCTAATTATGCATCACAGATGAAAAATAACCGGAAAATTTATTTCATCGCGTAGTGGACTGTCCGTCGAAAATGGAGTCCGCTCGCGTGTCACGGAAGTATTCAGCTCTAACTAGAATTCAGCGCAGCCACTCAATATTATTCAGGTTTTATAGAATGTTGCATTTTTCTAAACGAAGTTCCAAAATATGATGAACTGTTTCATTTCCTAAACGAAACTCGTCACTTTCTTTCATATTAATCAATCAAATACTTGAATTACCGTAGAAATCACTTGTAATGTAACGGTTGTTATTAACTTTATAAATTTTGCCTACTAACAAGTAGTACGAAGCTAACAGCAAAAATAATTTGTATGCTCGCTCGAAACTTTTCATCAATGGTCACGAATACATGTAATTGATAGAGTCAGTTTCCGCATACAAACATCTTATTCTGACTACTTCAATATTTTCACTAAGTCACAAGCATTTGGTATAGGATACACACATTGGCCAAATAGATACTGACTAATGCTAGTGTTGAGCCCTAATAGCTATCTGGACTCGCCAACCTAAGTAGATAGCACTGTGTGTGTGAGAATGGTGAGCGAATACATACTTTTTTTCCTTATATACGCCTTGTGCTGCCTTGGCAGCCAACCTGTATTCGCCAACCTACCCTCTTCTGGTCTTGTCTTTCTAGTTCTATCCGATTGCTATACATTCCTCTCATGTCTATTCTCGATTCTCGGCGTAATGCGCTTTTTGGTTTTTCTCTTCTCATTTG